ACCTTTAAGGTACCTGATTTAAAGGTGTTTCTTCTTAAACATTTCATTCTTTAGGCGAACACCAGCACTATCCTTTGACATTTAATTTGTATTTAGAAACAAGATTTTGTTAAATCTCATTTGGCAAACATGACTGTGATGGAGGGATTGAGCAACTGGACACATCATCATCAATAACAGCTGTTTTTACTATTTCTGTGGAGAAACTATAATCACCACTGCAAGCAATTATGCATTGAGAATTACACACTTTTTCAGAAGACAGCACTGAATCTGCAGCTCCAGGAGAGGGACATGTCTGCTCAGAGCACACGAGAGCTAATGAAAGGGGAAGAGAGTGTGGAGCACATCCTGGGCCACCAACCCTTGAGGACGATATCCACAAAGACCACATGGCCGGCCCCGCTATTGAGACACAACATGCTCACTGATTCGTAGCCCTACAGGGGACAGCACTGGAGAGAGTGTGGGAACTCCGCCCAGTCTGATCGCAACACACTGAGGCAGGACACTGGGGGTGTGCAGCAGAGCAGCAGGGGGAGCGGAGCGGCGAGGTCCCCAGGGAGTACCAAGAATAGACTTTGGGGACAGGGCTTGACGCCCCATCAGACTCGACTGGAGAACACTCCTAAAGGCCAACAAACAGTCCTTGAACTAACTACAAGCTTTTCTTTTTTGGGCATTGTTTTAATTTGTTACTTCGTTTTGCTGTCTTTTTTGTGTGCATATTATTAGCTCCGCAGGTCTAAATAAGATAGACTGGATGAACAATCTGGAGGAGAAAACGGGACTGACAATTCTGGGGGGACATGGGAGAAGGGGAGGTGGGGGGAAAGGTAGTAGTGTTAACAAACCCAGGAACAAGGGAACAAGTGATCCAAATAGGTGGTGAGGAGGGTGTAGGAGGCCTGGTAGGGTGTGATCAAGAGTACACAGGAGGAATTACTGAAACCCAAATGATGATTGAGCATGATAGTAGGACCAGAGGAAAGTCAAAGGAAATAGAGGAAAGAGCTAGGAGGGAAAGGGCATATATAGAGGTCTAAATAAAGTCATGTACATATGTAAATATAATTATGAGGATGGGGAAATAGATCTATGTGCATATACTTATAGGTTTAGTATTAAGGTAGCAGATGGACATTGGGCCTCCACTCAAATACTCCCTCAATGAAAGAATACTTTGTTCTATTAAACTGGCATTTTATGATGCTCACCTTCCCAACACAATCACTGAAGACAAAGCGGGTAAATAAGCAAATGTGGCGAAGAAAGGTGATGGTGCCTGGCTATCAAAAGATATAGTGTCTGGGGTCTTAAAAAGCTTGAAGGTAAACAAGTGGCCATCTAGCTGAGAAGCAACAAAGCCCACATGGAAGCATACCAGCCTGTGCGATCAAGAGGCGTCGAAGGGATCAGTTATCAGGCATCAGCAGAAAAAAAAATCCTATCATTGTGAAGGAGGGGAAATGAGGGGGTGAAGACCCAAGCCCATCTGTAGGCAACAGGACATCCTCTTATGGAATGGTCACAGGGAGGAGACAGACAGTCAGGGTGCAATGTAGCAACGGTGAAACATACAACTTTCTTCCAGTTCCTAAATGCTTCCTCTCCCCGTCAATATCATGATCCCAATTCTATCTTACAAATCTGGTTAGACCAGAGGATGTACACTGGTACAGATAGGAACTAGAAACACAGGAAATCCAGGGTGGGTGATCCCTTCAGGACCAGTGGTGAGTGGCAATACCAGGAGGGTGGAGGGAAGGTGGGTTGGAAAGGTAGATCCGATTACAAGGATCTACATATAACCTCCTCCCTGGGGGGGCGGACAACAGAAAAGTGGGTGAAGGGAGACGTCGGACAGGGCAAGATATGACAAAATAATAATTTATAAATTATCAAGGGCTCATGAGGGAGCGGGAAGTGAGGGGGGAGGGAGGGGAAAAATGAGCTGATACCAGGGGCTGAAGTGGAGAGCAAATGTTTTGAGAATGAGGGCAATGAATGTACAAATGTGCTTCACACAATTGATGTATGTATGGATTGTGATGAGTTGTATAAGCCCCTAAATGATTAAAAAAAATTACACACTTACGGGCTGTCTCATTATCAAATGGTGCTATTTGACCCTTACAGAGAGAATGGTTTAATTCCACAAAGGTGTTGGGTCACTTAAGAATACAGCAAAAATGTAAATGTCAATTACATCTTCACGAGTGCTTATGTGAACAGCTGTAATTGGCTTTTCTATTACCCTTTCCTCTTTACCACCAGATAACACATCTCTCCTCTAACTAGTCATTCTGGGTTTTCTCAAAAGTTGCTCGATGGTGATTATGAAAAAAAAAACAAAGGTTTCTGTTCTTGATACCTGACTGACTCACATTGCAAGTGCTGACAAAGGCGTTACAGGGAGAAGCCCCTCCCACCGCACAGGACGCAGCCACTTTTCCAGGGTCCAGCAAAAACACAACGAAAATGTGATGATCGAAGATTCTAGATGTTTCTTATTGTCTGACCTAAAATCATATCAATGACAGTATGACTATACCACTGAATTCTTTATAACGGATGTTTGAGGAATATTTTTCTTCAAGCACTTTTCAACTGTAAATTAAATATCTCCAAAATTTTTAAAAAAGTTATCTTGAACACAGAAAATGTTAAATACGTAATTATTTTTACACACCATCCTAATGCTCTTGACATCCTGACCCTAAATTAATCTTCAAATTCCACCTCGGTATTTATAAAGAATTCAGAGGGACATATGACGAGAAGCCTCATGTTAATAAACTGGCATCTACTGGAAATATTCCCTAAACCATTTCTTTTCAGACCCATTTCACCCATTTAAAGTAACAGCAGGGTCTCCAATGTTATCAAGAAAGTGTATTCACAAGTGGAACTTTCCTCAGAAAGGATCACAGTTTGAAATGCAAAGATCTAAGATTGCCGAGTTTTTGTGGATTTATTTACTCACGTTAGAAACATATTGTAGAAGAGGACAGAACAGAAAAAGAAAAGAAAAGAAATATATTCTAGCTATTAACTCAAAATGTGCAAGTTTCTAAAAAAAAAAGCAAGTTTTTCAAACTCAAAGTACTGTAAGAAAACACTATAAATGGAGTATTAATGAGTCTATTGCTAAAGTGAAATTTAAGAGTAGCAAAAACTTACGGGGCCCAATGAAAGAAACCATTTACAAAAGAATAAAACTTAAAACTTTGTTTATATGACAAATATATCCAAGCAGAGAATTACTGAGGGTGACTTTTAGCTCTACTAAGACTTGTTTCAAACTGTCAGTGCAATCTGAAAGAAAAATGTTATTTTAAAAGCAAATGTGTCAAAATTCCCAAAGGCCAAAAATTGTGGCTACATGTCCATTAATAAAAGTGCAAAAGATAAGCAACAATTTCAAATATTCAATTATTTGTTGACCACAAAAAAGTATTTTGGTGTTTTTATTTGGGTGTAAAAGTATTAATTTTATTCAATGTTTTATTATATGAAAAAATTTTAAAATAAACTAAAATTTTAAATATTTAAGCAAAATCTGAATTCCATATTTGAAGTCAATTCAAATTTTCACTACTTTAGAACTCTATGTTTACTATTTGCGGAACTTTTAGAAACTGGCAAGTTATACCTAAAATTGCCTTAAAGACCATAAACTGTCTTTTTGGAAATTATTCATAAAACTTTACAAATATTTCTAAATTATTTTTAACAGTTTTAATTATAGAGTTTGATCTTAATAGAAATTGCAATTACTTTATAATTGTATGTGGTGATCACTACCCATGGATATAACATTTGATAAACACACACAAAGGATACATAAGAGAAATGGTTCTGGTTTTAAAACATTACGGCACAAATAACTAGGCTGGAAATCACAATGTCAAATCACTGACTTAGGAAAACACCATCATCTGAAAACTCAAGGGGAAACTGTTCTTTCTGGGCAGCTTGGCATTATTAGTTGTTCCAGTCTTGTACCTCAAACACTACACATACTTTCAAATTGTCAATCCATTTCCCATGCTTAGCTCATTAGGACACTTGAATCTGCAACATAAATTGGACTTGTATCTACCCTAAAGAAGGCAGTTCCCAAGATTAAATACTACTTAAAATTCTCTTGAATACCAGTATCTCACCTCACATTTGTAATAAATGATCCATAGTAGTAAAAATTTCATCCCTACCTTAAAGTAACAACAGCTTAAAATATTAAACCACTTTTATGGAGGTGATCCCAAACTCATTTTACTTAGCCACACGCAAAACTCTACACCTCGGGACTGAGCCTTGTTTTGGGGGAAGATTCCAGGGTCAACACTACAAACATCAAATACAATAATTCATTATAAGAACCTCAGAAACTTGTAAGTGTAACAATGGTAGCTTCACATTGTTCCTAGAGCTTAAAACAAGTGTTTGTTTGTTTTTTTGTTCCCCCTCTTTTGGGGAGGTATTTGTAGGGGAAGGGGAAGAGGTTACAGCACTTGCCAGTAGACTCACCAGCTGTTTCACAGGAGAGGGATGTGGCAGTTGGCTTCCATAAAGATTACAGTCCTGAAAACCATTGTGTTAGGAGTCCAAACTGCCTCTAGGGCAACGGGTTTTTGTGGAAGTTAGAGAAATGGCTTTTGAAAACCTGATTTGTAGACTAGCTTCAGAGGTTGCTGAAGATTTCCTCATGGATAGAGTTGCTAAAGGAATCCAAGACGAGAGATGGCTATAGCACCCACTGAGGGCAATGATGAACTCTTCCACTTAGGCATTTGCTTGTCTATGGACATGGATGCATAGGAGTGCTGCTAGTGAAGCTCAAAGTGCTCTCAAGCAGTAAAGCAACGGCTTTACAAGAAAAACCTGAATTACTTAACAAACACTGTAGCTGGAGTTGCTGATCATTTCATAAGGGAATCCAGCACAAGGACCATGGCAGAAAGAGAAAAGGAAATTCATGATGCTGTTGCTGCAGCTATGACAGGAGGCATGAAAACCTTGCACTTTTAATGAAATACCTTTCTTTTACATACTGAAAATGCAGCTTTAAGTGACGTATATAAAACATTCAAGCCTAACCAATCCCACTGCACTGAGTCAGTTTTCATTCACAGCAACCCTCGCGGAACGAGAAGTGCTCTCTAGGGTTTACAGGAGCAGACAGCCTCATCTTTCTCCTGGTAACCTGGCACTTCTGACATGCAGTTCGCAGCTCCAAAGGTAACCACTACACCACCTGTAGGGTACTAATAGTTGTTTGGGGGGAATCAAAAGCTGTATTTTACTATTGAGAGGTGGGGGTTGTCATTATGCAAGGGTCAACTGTATTTGTAACTAATTTTTATTAGTTACAAATTTCTTTCCTTTGGCAAAAACTTTAGGGAGTATCTGACGCTTAATCAGTACTTGATACTTGGTCAACTATCAAGTATTATGAAACAAGGTGCTGAAAAACAAAACACAAAGCTGGAAAGCATTTTATTATTTTTTTCTAGTTAATATTTTTTTCTAGTTCAGGACCACAAGAATTTAAAGGTCCTTTTCCAGCAACTTTTATGGTTTAGGAGTACCACTTTAAAAATAACTGACACTCAAAAAAAACCAAAACAAAACTGACACTCTAAGTACTACTGTTCTTCTACATCAATAGTTTCTATAGTAACCATTTTCATGAAAGCCTTATCAGACATTATACCTCTTGCTCCTTTGGTCAGATATATAAACAGAAACTTTAATCAGATGTTTATACGCTCAAAATAGTTTTTCAAAGCACACCCAAGCAAACCAAATCTACATTAGCAACGTTTACAATTAATTTTAGTAGTTATTTAAAATACTTAACAAAGATGTACTGAAACATGATATTTTTAAAATTATGCATAATTTAATAAACAAATTTCAATTTCAAAATAAAAAAGATTAATGGCCAAATTAAAGAAACTTTAAGCATCCAGTTTAAAAGATCTTAATTTTCAGGTTACTCAGAAATATATTTTGTGAATAAGAATTATTTCATAAATACATATGTATAAATATAAATATATACCTACAGGATCTGTGGTGGGAGAAGCTCTTTAAAGGAAGAAAAGTGCACTTCTAGATTATTGAGATCATGTCATATTTACACTTCATGTGAAAGATACTACTACCAGGGCCAGGTGCTTTTGGCACAAGTTTTTAGGTTAATATTGACACAACCTTATAAACATAATGCTTATTTATTTTATTCACTGGAATATGAAGAATCAAACAGACTTGTGTATTCTGACAAAAGCCCCCACAGATATCTGCAAATGTTTAATTAAATACAAAACCTTTTTTTTTAAAAAGACCTTAATTCTGTCTTTACATCTGGAACGTGTAAAATTTTATCAGCAAGGTTTTCTCTAAGCTCCTTCAGCAAGAACTCCCAGTTCACATAAAAAGGTAATATCGTCTTTTTCCACTTAAGTATGACTTTTCCTGATCAGACCCCTGTATATAAGGACAAAAAATATATGTATAATAAAAAGATTGGATAAATCAGGAGAGGCTTTTTGGTCTTGAATTCTTCACCCACTAACAATGAAGCAGCACTGTAGGCAGCCCAGAACACACCAAACAGCTTAAAAAAAAAAAAAAAGGCAACATATTAGTAAGTCAAATAACTTCTTGCATGTAAAGCTCCAAACCTCATCAGTGTTTCTAACTGGTCTCACTCAATCCCATCACGTTGATCCGGACTCAGTGAGAGCCTTTGAGACAGAGTGGAACTGTCCCATAGTAAATCGTTATGGACACTATTGCCACATCTTTCTCCCCTTGATAGCTGTGGGTGCTTTAGCCATTAGAACTAGAACTCCTTATTAGCATATCATGAAAACAATATTATCTACAATTCTTAAAAAAGCAATTTTGACAAGTATGGTAAATATTAAAATTTATTAAGAATGTTTGCTCTTTCTCTGTTCCTATTATGGCTTTATCACACTGACTCTCTAGTCAGATGATTTAATGTTAAATAAAATTAGTTTGTAGATTACATCAGTTCCAATGCTAGAATTAAGAGGTAAAAGTTTATTAGCATATTTCTCAACAAAGCTTGAATTTAAAGAAACACGCACAATAGCTTACGATATACAGAGAATCAAATGGCAAACATTTTTTGGCCAAAAAGAAAATCCAAATCTTAAGATAATTTAAACCTAGATTAAATATAGAAAAAATATTTTTCCATTTTATGAAACATTCATATAGTACATAAAGAATTTTAAGTTCCAAATTTCAGGGGAACTACATGCTTAAAAAATGACTAGAAAGGTAATGATTTTGACAATCTGAAACTAGTCTCTGACATGTATTAACAGGCATATCAACTCAAGTGAAACAACACATAGTAGGAAGTGATCCTAAATGAGTCAGTGCAATTGCTTGCTCACTCAGGCTAGGATAACCGAATGCCAGGAAAGGGTCAGCTGCTGAACTGCAAGACTTTTCAGCTAAGTACTAAGAATGGGAAAACTGGAATTTTTCTTTTTAAAGATTTTAGGCAGAAGATAAGGCCTTACACAATGCCCCTAAAGTGTTCAAACAGTTCAAATATGCTAAGATGTTCTCAAAATATTCTTTTATGATATTTGTAATAATAATAGCTACTACGAGTGCCTATTCTGTGCCAGGCACTATACAAAGAGCACTATATATACTTTAAAGTCCTCATAGCAAAACCTAAAATGAAATGTAGTTGTTAAAGATTCCCACTTTACAATGAGCACACGGATAGTAAGAAAAGTTAAGATAAAAACTCCCCAAATCACACAGCAAGCCACTATCTGGATCTAAAACTCTTATTTTTTAAATACCAAATTATTTATGAGAAAGTGCTTCCAAAAATTTGGAAAAATTGTTTTGAAAGATAATGGAATTATTTCCACATGCTTTTTGAAGCCCCTGGTATAATGTCACTCACTATAAATCTATAGTTCCCCAATTATAAAAGGAATCACAATTTTTTAAATATTGAAATTATTAACTTTAAAAAGAATCAAATTTAATAAAAATTAAGTGGCTCTCACTATTCATAAATAAATGCCTTAGTGGAGAGATGACAAAATGGCAGTTCTGAAAACAGTGGTTTTAAAAAGTTCAAATATATCAAAGAACAGAAATCCACTGTCTCATATGTACACATGTGCCAAAGCAGTCATTTACTCCCCCAAAATTTCAAGAATAAAAGCTGAAATTTCAATACCATTACTACTTGTATTACTACATGATACTATCAAGTAAACGAGTACCTATCTTAATGTAACTTTAACAAAATAAAAAGGACTTTTGATCTCTACAATAAAATCAATTTAGCAGAACCATGCTTATCACATTAAGAAAGTAACCACTTAAATAGGAGTTGTTATTAAATAAATGGACAGTGAACTTTTAAGTAAATATTCTCCTAAAAAGTCTAACTCAGAGGAACTGGTGCTACGAACATAAGGATGAAAAATTCAACATAAAAATCCTCTGAATGTAATACCTGAGACCTAATTTGTGTTTGGGATTTTCTACCTCCTAGACATATATAATTGCAATTCCCAGGCAATTACAAGGGAAAAACCAAAGAAATATAATTATTAAGAATAGTAAGGAAGTTCACTGTTCTAAAATACTAACAACCATTTGACAAACTGATTCTAGACTACCATAATCAGTTAAGAATACCAAAGTTAAGATTATCATTTTAGCCTAAGAGACAGCATACTTTTGACATTGGAAAACAGCACACTGCTATATATGATACACACAAGTGAACTTACTTTTATAAGTGTAGACACCACTTCAAATGATCCAACCACCAAAAGTACAGGGGCTATTACAATGAGAGGAAGTAATGAATAGCCTATAACTCCAAGAACTTGGCCATATGCAACCTGTAAATTTTCAAAATTTAAATAAATATCACAGAAATCAAGACGCTCATTCTAATCACCATTGATCATATACTTTTACCTCTAATACAACATGATCAAAGTCATAAAGCATCATACTGCTTCCATTTCAATTCAGTATGCACATATTCCCAAGAATTGTCCTGGATTGTCTTACGTATACACATGCATGACAAATTTGAACACGAATTTGGTTAAATTCCTCAAAATATGTTGGAGTTCTGTTTTGTGATTATATTACATTTCAAAGTCCCTTACAATTTTTTTTTGACATCTTCAGAATTATTTATTCTCCATGTTCCTGGGAGGACCATTACAGCTACAATTATCACCAGTTTTCTGAAGATACCCAAATCTACATCTAGTTATTCTCTCCCTCTTTAGTTTCAGACTTCTAAACCCAATTACTTCTGGTTTACCTCTTGTGTATATTCTGTGACAACTTATGTAAGCTATTAGAAGATTACAGAAAGGGACCACAATCAGGCTGTTCTGACTTAAAAAGCAAGGTCTAGAGAAGTTACATGTGCCAGATGCAGACTGGAAAAGGAGAGAGTGAGGAGAGACTGAAGAGAAAGTATCTTTTAGTGGGTCTTATATGCCAAGCTTTGTGATAGGGCCTCACATGTGGAGATCAAGTGAAGTAACAGGCCTACGAAGTCGGTGAGAGGTTGTAGTGGGGTGCTAGAGTCAGTTCCGGTCCATAGTGACCCTATGCACAACAGAATGAAGTAACAGGAGCCAAAGAGCTGAATAGAAAGTTTCAAAGGGCAGCTCAAGAAGACAAATTATAATGAGATGTACAAAGACCTAGAGTTACAAAACCAAAAAGACCACTCTCAGCATACCTTAAACTTACAGAACTCAAGAAACAATTCAAGCCTTGAGTTTCAGGATTGATACGTTCTATGGGCAAAATATTGAGTGATACAGGAAGCATCAAAAGAAGACAGAAAGAATACATAGTCATTATACCAAAAAAAAGAATAGACACTCTTCCATTTCAGAAGGTAGCATATGAACAAGAACCAATGGCGCTGAAGAAAGAAGTTCGAGCTGCACTGAAGGCATTAGCTAAAAACGAGATGAAGGAATTAATGGACACCAATTGAAATGTTTCAACAAGCTGATGAAACACTAGAAGTACTCACTTGTCTACACCAGCTGATTAGCCAAATAACAGGAAGAGTTCCATATTTGTACCCATGCCAAAGAGAGGTGACATATAGTCAATTAATGTGGCCCTTTTATTTCTAATTCCTCATGTGATGTATTATTAATTCTGGAAGGAGTTGTCTGTTAGGGTCAAACTGAGTGAGTATCGACTGCAGGCAGTGAGTTTGATTTTTCTGGTTTTCTCTGTCACAGGATTAAGGTGAGGTCAAGTCCTGACCTTAGCAGAGGGTGAACCAAGCCACAGCCTTTGTTTCCTCAGGGGCATCTTTAAGACTACTTTAGCAGAGGGGGGGGAACCACTGTTTCATTTCCTTGGGGTAAGGTGAGCTAAAATCCAAACCACACCTCTGTGAAAGCCTTCCTCAGTGTGTAGGAGCCATTTGGGACACAGAAAAACTGCAGGGCAGTTTGGAAGAGAACATCTAAGATCTCTATCTGAAGTGGCAGAGGCCATCGAGACCCATGTACAAGAAACTGTGGCAAAGAGATTCAGAGGAGCAGCACCAAGACTATGGGGTAGCTTCTCCTCATCTGGTCCATGACTATGGAACTACGGAAGCAAAGGCTAAGGCAGTGGTTCTTAACCTTCCTAATGCCATGACCCTATAATACAGTTCATGTTGTGGTGACCCCCCAACCATAAAATTATTTTTGTTGCTACTTCATAACTGTCATTTTGCTACATTTTTTTTTTTTTGCTGTTATGAATTGGGCGGCCCCTATGAAAAGGTCGTTCGACGCCCCACCCCCCACCCAAAGGGGTCGCAACCCACAGATTGAGAACCGCTGGGCTAAGGGGACCTAAGGCTGAGAGACTGAGGATCAGAGAAAGACTTGGCTGCTGGCTGAGGAGAGGTGTTGCTGTGGATCAACGTATGTTTATTGCTTACTGAGCCTGAGTTTTGGTAATGTATTAGTTTACCTAATAAACTGCCTGTATCATGAATATTGTCTGTGAGTTCTATGCAGCCCTTGCAACGAATTACCACATCCAGCATAGAAGTGGAGTTCTGTGTGGGAAGGGTTGTCACAACAGGATAAAGGAGGATGGAGGGTGAAGGCATGTCTGACCCCTACCACATGGCAATAGGGCAGGTAGAGGTCAAACATGTCCATTGCTGTTTATCACAGTAGGTATTATTGTCTTCGACATGGACTGAATTATGTCCCTGACACATGTCAAGGTCACGATTCTCAGTGGTTTGGTAGTTATGCAATATGCAATTTGGGAGTTATGTATGATGTGACCATCCCAGTTGGTGTGATAAGATGTGCTCAACCAATCACAACTGTGAAGTGATTAAGGTGGAACGTACACCCTTACTCAGGTCAGTTATTTGACATACGGGGAGTTTTCCTGAGTGTGGTCTGTGTCACCTCTCATTTTAAGAGAGAGAAAAGCAGAGAAAGGGAGGAGCTTGGGAAGCACTGAGCGTTGAGTATACCCTTTGATACCTGGGTGCCACCACTGAGAACCTCCTAGACCAGGAGACTGATGCCAAAACATGTGGAAATCTCCAAGGAATGCTGGACCCACAGTTGTTGACAGAAAACAAAGACCTTTCCCCAAAGACAACACAGAAAGTCTTCCTCCAGAGCTGGTGCCCCAAATTTGGACTTCTATCTTCCTAAATTATGGGAAGATAAAGTTGTCCTAGTCATCCACGTGTGTTATTTCTGAGACAGCAACACTAGATAACTAATTTGGTGCCAAGATTGGGGTACGGTACTGTTCCAACAGATATTTTAAATATGGAAGCATTTGGGAATTAAGAGAGACGTGAAGAGTTTTAAGGTGCATAGTATGGTGACCTTGCAGTTAGCAGGCCAATGTGTACTCATACGCCACCAGGGCTCTTAGATTGCCTTGACGAGATTGCTGGGCAGAGTTAGGGGAATTAAAGGCATTTTTGGTGAGGCTCCAAAAGAAACAACACAGAAAGAGAGAAGCAGCAGCAGAACCAAGAGACTTAGTGCAAGATGGAACTGGCCCATGGAGCAAGACAGCTGCTTATCTTCAGGAAGTAGGGTTCCTGGCAGAGTGGAGTGCCTCTGTCCACTGATGGAAGTTGGCTTACTGACCCACAGAATGAGAGCACATGCCATCATGCCAAGGTTACTGGTATAGTGGGGTATCTGTACTAATCAGAACTGAAGAGTTCTCAAGGTTTGCCCAAGTAGGGCAGGGGCTAGGCTGGCCCAAGGGTCTGAGGGGCTGAAAGGACAAGGAACCAGACACATAAAGCGAACAGACAAGCAATATGAGAAGCATAGCTACTCTGGTCTCAAAGAGTGGGGTCACAACCTTTGGAATTGAAAAGATGAAACTAGGCCTGCTGGGTCTCAAAGGATATGGCTATGGTCTCTCCTAGGTTTCTGCTAGATATTTAGCCACTTGGTTCTGGATTATGGGGCTTCTGTTCCTGAATGTCACAGAAATGGGGCCAGAGCTGCTACCCAAAATCTTAGGGGGAAGGGACTGCTGTGTCCAAGGGGAAGGAAGAATAAGACCTGATGGAGCCAAGGGGGTCATGTTGCTACTCAGCTGGACTAGGAGAATGGGGCTGTCCAAAGCTGAAGGTGCTAAGTTGCCATTCCAGTAGGCCTGGATGGTGGAGCTGAAGACCAGGGCTGAGGGGCTGCAAAGCAGAATGCCGAGGACGGCCAACACCCAACACTCTCAGAGAAGAGAGGATTGTTTTTGAGCCTTAAAATCTAATGCAAATTGTTCTGCTAGGTTTTGGACTTGCTTGGTGCCCACTACCCACCTTCTTTTCTTTGAATCTCTCCTATTTGTAATGGAAATGTATATCTTATACCTGTTCTACCACTGAACTTTGGAAGTATATAACTTATAGTCTAAATTCACAGATGCGGAATTTTCTCCCCAGGATGAAATTTGCATTTAAAGTGATATGATGAGGTGAAAGTCTAACAAGCACACCAATTTTGGGGGGCTGAATGGAATGTTATAGATTGAACTGTGTTCCCCCTAAAGTATGTGTCAACTTGGCTGACCCTGCATTCTCAGTGGTTTGGCAGTTATGCAATGATAGACTCATCTCTCATGATGTGATCTGATGTAATTATCCAATTGGTTGTAAAGGAATTCAGGTGGATGCAACACTGTTAGGTCTAGATGTCTGCGAGTTTCCGTGAGGAATGGCCTATATCACCTTTTGTATAAAAGGAGAGAAAAATCAGCAGAGAGGGACCTGAGCACCACCAAGAAAGAAGAGCCAAGCACAGAACACATCCTTTGGGCCTAGGGTCCTAGCAGAGAACCTCTTACATTCAGGGGCGGATGAGTGCTAAGACACATGGAGAGTTCATGGAACGCTGAACCCATAAATGGTGAAAGGAGTCAGGAACATCTTCCCGGAGCTGACAGAATGTCTTCTTTTAGTGCTGATACTCTGAAGCTGGGCATCTAGCCTCCTACACTGTGAGTGAATAAATGTGTTTGTAAAAGCCACCTACTTGTGGTGTACTTTTTTTATAGCAGTTCTAGATAACTAGGACAGTCTGCATTATGAAAAAACTGAGTCTTAGAGAAGCAAAATGTTTGCTCAGGAAGCAAAGCTAGTAGATGACAGAGTTCAAATTAAGAACTGACTCCTTAATTAACTTCTACAGTCCGACAGGATCACTATGTTGGAGGCAACACATGGTCATGAGTTTGGTTTGGGTCCTACCGTGTCCTAAAATTTAGTGACATATATTTTTATTTGAAAGGCATTCTGGAGGTGGTGTGGGATTGCTAACCTCAAAACAAGGGGTTCAACCCATTAGCTGCTCTGCGGAAGAAAGATGAGGCTACCTGGTCCTGTGAAGATTTACAGTCTCAGGAACCCCTATACACCATTGCTATTGACTCGATGTAGTGTTTTATGTTTTAAAATGGGTTATTACATTAGATTTTAGGTAGAATACAAGAAATACTACATGAAAGAATTAATTTAGGTCTCTCAGAGTAATTTTCATTTCCATGAGAAAAAGTTTAGTGGACAAATGTTATTCTAAATTTATTTATAAGGAACACAACCAGGAAAAGAACAGGAGACAGCACAACAGCAACATGATTTTAGAAGCTAGAGAGCAGGCGGGTAAAGAGCTGAGTAACAGCCTTGGCAGACCTTTGCACCATGTGTGAGAAAATGGCTCAAAGTTTCTGGATTTAGCATTCAATATTCAGAGAGTCAGTCTGACATTAGCCAGTATTCACATTATAATTCTGCATTCCATCACTTCGTTTTACTCTGTCCACAGATTAATCTACCTAAATTCTTGGTATATATCAATTCATGAAATCTTTTTCAATAAAGGTGTGACCCATGAAACCCCGAGAGTCTTAAAGACCCTTCTTACAAGAGTCTTAGGTCAAAATTATTTTTTATAATAACACAGATATTATTTGTCTTTTCCATTGAACTGACATTTTACTAATTGGGCAACAGTAATGGTCGGTAAACCTGCTATTGCTTTGACTCAAATCAAGGTGACACAAATTGTACCAGTTGTTACTGTGTTCTTTACTACCACACACAGAGAGAGAAGGAGGAAGGGGGGAGGAGCCAGTTACATATATTAACTTTGATGAAGCAATCAAAAATGATTAATTTTATTAAACCTCAACATCTGAATACATATCTTTGTAATAATTCATGTAACAAAATGGGAAGCAAACATAAAGCATTTCTGTTGTATATTGAAGTTCAAGGATTATCCCAAAGAAGAACACTTGTGTGAATGAGTTAAGAGTTTTAATTAGATGATGCTGTTATTCTTTTTAACAGAATGCCAGTTTTACTAGAAAGAAAAACTGACAAGACAAACCATGGTTACTCAGACTTGGGTAATGTTAGGTATTTTCTTGAAAATGAACAAAATGAGCCCATTGCTTTATCAAAAAAACAAACAAACAACAACAGTATTTGCAGCAAATGACAAAATGTGAGTTCTCAAGAAAATACAGGAATTTTGGAAAACTTGTACACCTAGCACTGTAAGCTTAAGTTTTCCAATAAGGATTTTTCTCAAGATATTTGGTGGTGTCAATGAGTGATAACTTACAGAATAAAACAAAATGCATCAATATTTGGAAGATCTCCATAACCCAGGGGACAAATGCTTTCCAATGTAAGATGTTACAAAATTCTGCATTGCTAAAAAGATCCGTTCAAACTGAATGTTAATGAAACAGAGAATGAAAGGTTAGCAGAGATGGCTTCAGATTCCATAGTGCAACAAATCTGAAAGAAACTACTACATGTTCAGTTTTGGTGTGGTATCAAAGAATATCCATTAATTAATTATCTGAAACTGATATTAAAAATCTTGTCATCTTTTCCAGTAATACATGTCTGAAGTCTTATTTTCTTCATAGGCGAGGGGGTACCCAAAAAACTGCAGCTATCTTCCACTTTTAAGCCAGGCATAAAAGTTACTTGCAAGAATGATCTCTTCAGGACCAGTGCGGAGAGTGGTGATACCAGTAGCGTGGAGGGAGGGTTTGGTGGGAAGGGGGAACCGATTACAAGGATCTACATATAACCTCCTCCCTGGGAGATGGACAACAGAAAAGTGAGTGAAGGGAGTGGGTAAGATATGACAAAATAAGAACTAGGAGGCACAGGGCATTTATAGGGAACTAAATACAGGCAATACAGATGTAAATATATTTATATATGACGAGGGGGAGATAGATCTATGTACATATAGTTATAGGTTTAGTATTAAGGAAACAGATGGGACAGTGGGTCCCTATTCAAGTACTCCCTCAACACAAGAACACTTTGTTCTAACAATTCAGCAGTTTGAGATGCTCACCTTCCTGGCACAATCGCTGAAGACAACGGGTGCACAAGCAAATGTGGTAAAGAAAGCTGATGATGCCCGGCTATCAAAAGATAGAGCATCTGGGGTCTTAAAGGCCTGAAGATAAACAGCAGCTATCTAACTGAGAAACAACAAGGCCCACATGGAAGAAGCACACCAGCCTGTGAGATCATGAGGCATCGAAGGGATCAGGTATCAGGCATCAAAGACCAAAAAAAATCATAGCATGGTGAATGAGGGGGAGTGCAGAGTGGAGACCCAGGGCCCATCTGTGAGCAGTTGGACATCCACTTGCAGAAGGGCCGTGGGGAGGAAAGAGCCAGTCAGGGTGCAGTGTAGCAATGATGAAGCATACAATTTTCCTCTAGTTCTTGAATGCTTCCTCCCCCCACTATCAAGATCCCAATTCTAACTTATAATCCGGCTGGACCAGAGGATGTACACTAGTACAGAGGGAATCCAGGGCGGATGATCCCTTCAGAACCAGTGGTGAGAGTGGTGATACCGGGAGGGTGGAGGGAAGGTGGGGTAGAAAGGGGAACCGATTACAAGGATCTATATATAACCCCCTCCCTGGGTGACGGACAACAGAAAAGTGGATGAAGGGAGATGTCGGACAGTGTGAGACATGAATTTATCAACTATCAAGGGTTCATGGGGAGGGGGTAGAGGGGAGGGAGGGAGAAAAAATGAGGAGCTGATATCAAGGGCTCAAGTAGAAAGCCAATGTTTTGAGAATGATGAGGGAAACAAATGTACAAATGTGCTTGACACAATGGATGTATGTATGGATTGTGATAAGAGCTGTACAAGCCCCCAATAAAATGATTTGAAAAAAAAAGAATGTACTTGCTTACTTTTTGTTGTGGAAAATAGTTATTTTCTTAAAAATATATTAACCTGAGGTTGACTATTAATCTTAAAACTTTCTATTTTGGTGTGAGTGGCGAAACAGGGAGGGTAGAGGGAGTGTGGGTAGGAAAGAGGGAACCGATTACAAGGAACTATATGTGACCTCCCCCCTGGGGGACAGACAACCGAAAAGTGGGTGAAGGAAGACATCGGATAGGGCAAGATGTGACAAAATACCAATTTATACACTATCAAGGGCTCATGAGGGAGGGGGGAGCGGGGAGGGAGGGGGAAAATGAGGACCTAATGCTGGGGGTTTAAGTGGAGAGAAAATGTTCTGAGAATGATGTACAAATGCGCTTTACACAATTGATGTGTGTATGGACTGTGCTAAGAGTTGTATGAGCCCCTAATAAAATGCTTTAAAAAAATTAAAAAATTTTTAAAAACCTTTCTATTTTGAACTGAATACAGTTTTACAAAGCAGATCATTTGTTTTCATTGAACAATTTATATACATTGTTTCATCTCATTCACTGCAATCCCCTCCTTGTAACATCGCCCATCCCACCTTCCTTGTTTCCTGTCTCCATTCTTCCTTCTCTCAGAACCCTACTGATTTTTGCTGCTGGGTAAATGCTGTCCCCTTGATCCCAAACGGCCAATTATTCTAAGGCAATGTTTTCCAAAGTAGGAGGTACCTCTCCTTGGGGATAAGGGGTTTGGAATGATCCAGGGTAAGCTGCACTTTATCCTGGATTATGGGCTACAGTTTTTAATTGATGGGGGTGGGGGTGTGGTGTGATTCTTTTTCTGGAAAAATGGGGGGTAAGCCAAAGAAGTTTGGGAGATTTTGTTCTAAGGTGTGCACACATCGATGTTATTATTCTCCTTGTAGACCTCAATATTGTTTGGCTGAAAATTGAATCGGAGGGGTGAGTTCAATTCCAGACCATAGTCTTGGGAGTTGCACCACTTTCTATCCAACCAGCAAGACTGGTGACCTTTACGAACTTCTGGAAGCCCCCTCATACACTTCCATCATCCATTAATTAATTACCTGAATATTATCTCCCAATATCCGTAAGCTATAATGCTTCCAATAACCTCATGCTATGCTGCTTGAGGAATGACATAGGAGCGATTCTTTCTCTCTGACCTTGCAGTTAGGAACCCAATGCTTAACCTATGGTACCATCATTTACCAAATAAGAACAAAATGAATTTTCCGAGTAACAAATCATCTTAAAGGACTTAATGTAACTTAAAAGTAATGTGGGGACAAGAAGCAAGTTAAAATCAGTATAGTTACTGATTGTACCTGCAGTCTCCAAAATAAAGTTTATTATGAAAAACAAAAGCCATTTTAAAAATGAACTACTTACTTCTCCACCAAGAACTCTGGCCAGTAAGAATATTGTTAAGGAACCAAATATCCAAATGGTGATAATCCACGATACCACCTTAAGAGGAAATAACAAAAAATATTTCATGCAATTAATGTCTTTCTATTAAACAAACTAATAATTTTCCAGGAACACAATTCGCTACTATATGCTCAGTTTCAAGTCATGGAAAGGTTGTGTGGGTTCCCAGGTATCTTTCTAAAACTTAACAGTATTACAATGCTTAATATAATTTTACACCCACATTGAAAATTTAGTGTTCACTACTTGCCTAATAAAACCTCAGTAATTCAACATCTATGTTTTTAAAATATTGCAAAAAGGGGAGAAAATACCATCCTGTAATGGAAATTACTTACTGAAGCAAGTTACCAATGTTCTCCCTGGGGATCAGGAGTGTTGGAGATCTTTACATTTTGAATTAATTACACATTTATCAAATGAATAGAATAGATAAGGTATTTCAGACACCTCAGTGTAATGATACATAGATACATTGCCAAACTTTGTTTGCTGGGACAGCCTACAAACCAATGGCATGTCAGTGATAAGATAAGCATACGTAATCGGTTCCTAGTTTCTCAGTATCATTCCCAAGGCAAGGAAACAAGACTTCTTAAATAAATCCATAACTGGAGCAGGGAAAATACAAGATGAGTGTGAAAAACCTCAGAGTCAGAAAGTAAGGAAGTGTTCTAAAATAAAAAGAGAAATGTTAAAATGATATAGACGCTGACCTGAAAGAGGTCCCAATGCTAAAACTGGAACAATTGGGGGTGCCCAATTTGTTGAACAATTAAATACATGATGATACTTCTGCCTCATAATTCAGAATAAAATAAATATTTGCGTTCATTTTGAAAAATAAATAATTGAATAATTAAACAACGGGAAAGCCCTTGGGATGAGATGGTGGACCCTTCCTCTCCGGTCTTTGAAGGTTGGGGGTGGTGGCAGTGGTAGTTGTTACTCACTGTCTCCCACCGAATATGCTTTGGGTGGGGTCCCCACTCATGCTTTGTCTGCTCCCACCCTGCACAGCCCCCTTACTTCTTCTCATCTTCCTGCTTCCCACAGAAGCCTCCCTACCACCTTAAAGCCCTTGCTCAGCCTCCCACTGTCCACCTACGGCCTGAAGTCATCCCGCAGTCACTCCAAGCCCTCTCTGGCTGGACTGAGACGTCATGGACGAATGGAAGAAGACATCCTGGGCCAGTCAGCAGCCATGCCTCATGTGGCTCAGTTGTCAGCAGGGTCTCCAGTATATCATCGGAGTGCCCTGCTAAGGGTTACCACGTGCCTGGAGTGGGTCCAGTGCAGAGCTCTGACCACTCAAGATGCCACCTGAAAATTTTTTCAAAATTGTAAATGGGAAATGTTGGATCACTCAAGATGCCACCTGAAAATGTTTTCAAAAATGTTGTAAATGGGGAAAAGGATGTTAATAAGAGAGCAGGAATAATAAGTGTCAAAAGAATGAGGGAAATAGACAATCTCTACCCACAAACACTATCGTAAAATCTTTATATGCAAAAAGAAAAAAAAATCTTTATATGCAATACCCATCGATGGATGCTAAAATTAGAGAGCTAAAGTTTGATGTGAAACACAATACTTGTATTGTTGCAAAGTATCTCCACAAGACATAAAGGGAAAATCAGCAACTTTACAAGAGAGGATGCAGGCAGATACATTATCCTCTAATCAGATGATTAAGGTTAATATTACCCACAATATGACATATTAGTAGCACAAAGAAATTGGTATAACACCACTTACGTGGTATTCTTACGAAAATACATAATAAACCGGTCATGGAAAATTATCAGGCAAATCCAAATACGGCAACAGGGTATAGGGGTAATAATCTTGTGGTTAACCTTAGACTTCTTTGTTCAAATGAACGCAACCAAAACCACATCATTGCCATCAAGTAGATCCAGACTCATAGTGACTCTCTATAGCACAACGTAGAACAGTTCCTTAGGGTTGCCAAGACTGTAAATCTTTATGAGAGCAGACAATCTCATCTTTCGCCCAAGGAACAGCTGGATGGTTTGCACCACTAACGTTGCAGTTAGCAGCCCAATGCTTAACCCACTGTCCCATCAAGGATTCTTTGCTCAAATGAAAAACACTAAATTCACTGTCATCGAGTCTATGTTAACAGTGAACCTATAAGACAGGGTAGAGCTGCCCTTGTGAATTTCCAACAATGTAACTATTTATTTAAATAGCTAAAACAAAAACTATTGGTCTAAGGTAAATATTAACACAATTAATGTTCAATGAATACAGTTGAGAGGTTCCCTGCAGTGAGTTAATTAATGACAACCTATGCCCCAAGATGTCTATTTCCTAATTCCAGGAACCTGTTAATGTTCTTTGATAGCTAAAGGACTTATCAGTGTATGGGAATGAGTACAGGATCGTGGGATCGGGAGATTAACCTGGATTATTTGAGTAGGCCTTAAATATAATCACAAGTATACAGAGGAGAGAGGGAGAGGGAGAGGGAGAGGGAGAGAGAGAGAGAGAGAGAGAGAGAAAGACACACACACTTGACGCTAGCAGAGGAGGAGGTGATGAGACAACCATGGAAGCAGATTGGAGTGATGTGGGTAGGAGCGAAGGAATGCTGGTACCCATCAGTGGAAAGGTAAGGAAAAATATCTTCTGCCAACATCTGGATTTTAGTTCTTAAAGACCATTTAGAACCGCTGACCTCCAGAACGAGCAAAGAATAAATTAATGTTTTAAACCAGTAAGTTTATGGCAACTTGTTATAAAAGCAACAGGACACTAATACATTTCCAAATAACTCTGTGGTATGAGTTATTTTTTAGTTTTCTAAAGCTAATGGGTAAGTGTTAGACTGTTAACCACAAGGTTGGTAATTCAAACCTACTAGGAGAAAAATGAAGCTGTTTGCTCCTGTAAAGATTCACAGCCTCAGAAGCCCTATGTAGGGTCACTAGGAATCAGAATTGACTCAATGGAAGTGGGTTTAGTTTTGATTTTGGTTAAAGTCTTAAGTAAAAGTAGAGATGTTTGTAAGTATAATATGATGATAAAGAGAAAACCCCTGAAAGCAAAGTGGTAAAAAAGTGAGAAACTGTATAAAAACAAATACAGACGGAATCTTTGCCATCCTTTATTGATTAAATGTTTGTTTTTCATAATAGAATTTAAAATGACCACAGGTTTACATGTTTAAATGCTTTGTTTGAAGATCCTCATCCCTCGGAAAGGTGAAAAGGGTAAGGAGGAGGAGGCTTGGTCATTTCTAGTTAGCTAGGGGTAGTCCACCTGTTTATGCCTGTGTGCCATGCCTATAACAACACTTCCTGTGTGAATGATCATGTGGAGAAGTTGGGCGAGCACCGAGCTCAGATACTCCCCACATATTTAATTATGAAGTTTGGGGGTTATTAAGACATTCTGGGTCAAGACAGGCACTTAAAATAATATATTAACTATAGTTAATATTTATCCATATTCATTTTTAAAGCTCTAATCATATTTAAAAGCAGTGAAAATGAGATATACTTACCCTAAACTGTCCATACAATGATATCATTGAAAAGAAAAGAACAACAGCCAGAGGACCCCAAAAGTCAGGATTGTCTCTCACCACTTGTCTATTAAAGCCAAGCGACGGCATTGGCATCAAAACACATCGGATTTTGTAGTAAATATCCTTTAAATCAATATCCAATTCCTCCCTATAATATTAAAATAAACAATCTCATTAAGCACACTTCTGAATACCGAGTTACAAAGCAACTTATGAAAAATATAAATAAGACAGTATAATCTTCCCAGGTTTAAAAATGTTACCATTTGAATTATTACTGTATTTTACTGATTCTAAGGTATGCATATTTTTAACATTTCACCATTTTGTGATCCGTCTAGAGTTAAGCCAAGTACTTTGAAGATGTGCCATTCCTATTGCCAGTCTCCTGGAGATATGCCCATTTTGGAATGACTTTAAATACAATTCTCTGCTTGAGATTTTTGGGGGCCAGACTAAATTCAGACTGCTAACCTACATGAGATCCAGTGTGGGTGTTAGAGGTTCTGGGAAAATGTTTCTCCTTCCAACATGCTACTCATTGGGTCAGATTCCTTGCTGTCCTTCTGTGCGGTAGCTTATTTCCCATTTTCACGAACACAGGAGAGACAGCCCTTTAATGTCTCAGTGTTATGACCCTGTAGTGCCTTTTCTTTCTGAATAGTTTGTCAAATACCTGTTATCTTATAACCCATATAGAGTTTAAGATTTTATATAATGTGGCATATTAACATTAAGAAATGGAATATTTTAGTGCTACCACTAATCTACTATAAAGAATAACTAGAATAACTTGGTAATGCATTAATATTACAAGTCCATAGGTAATCATTTCCAAAACTTATTCATTTCTTTACCTATTTTTCAAGGAATATGTAATCATTTTAAACATTTCAAGGACTGTGAAGAAAGTGACATTCTTGCACGTGTAACCTTACTTGCAATGACAGCTCTAGAATTCGGCGATGTGCTACATTACGTAATATGACTCTTCTAGCCAGTCTTTGTAATGCCAAACAAACTGTCCTCATGGGTCTGGGTAAGAGACAGTAAGGAAAGATGTGGATAGAATTCTATGATTCAGTTGTGAGTGGTGAATAACAAAGTTACTTGTGGTTATAAACACCTGGAAACCTAACTATGAGACTGACTAATTTTACCATCCTGTTGGGTATAAAATAGCCATCCCAGAGGCAGGAATGGGAGAACTCATTCCCATCAAGAAAGAGGCAGAAGTGGAGCATGTCCATTAGACCCCCAAGATGCCTACGCAGTGAACCACCTCAACCCAGGGTCAGAAACTTGGGACCTTAGAGGAGTAGCAAAAAAAGAAGCAACAGCAGAGCCAGAGTATGAGTCAGAACACAGGGTTCCCAGCTCAAGACCCAGTAAAGCTGATGCCTTTAGACAGGAGGCTCCTTTATAAAATGAGGTGGCTCCAGGAACTTAACTGGGCAAGCTAGGTTTGCAGACTCACAGAAGTAGGAGCAAGTAGCTTTGGGTTAACGCTTATGCAGGAGTGGCGTGTCCTTGAGACATGCAGTGGCAGTGCTAAAAGTACTTTACAACACTGCCAGAGTAGGGCAGAGGCCAGACTAGGGACCTGAGGACCACAGAAAAGTCTGCCTGTAGGCACAGCTGACTGTTCTGATTAAAAGAACTGAATCCTGAACATTTCTAATCCTAAATTGTAACCTGTTAACTTCCCTAATAAGGCCCACGATTGAGAATATGCACTGAGAATTGTGTGACCATCGCACTAAATTAGTAAATCCAGGTGAGAAACAAAATGTGAGAATTGGTAAAACTGTTGGAGGGTGTTGGCATGTCTAACCTCAGCCTCAAAGGAATTGGCATTGGGTTGATGAGCTTTAACTCTCCCCTGCTTGTAAAGTCAGATGCCTCCCCTCTTCACCTTTTTACAAATTACCATATAGAAGCCATTTAGATGTATTCTTTTTTGAAGTCTTAATATGTCCTAAGTCTGAATTTTTACAGTAAGTACCCACCACCAGTTTTTGTCACTACACTGCATAATTACTTGAGACAGTTAATTGTCCTAGGTAAGTTCTCTAAGGGTGGTGTATACTTACTTGTAAGATATCAAATTACTATTTGCTTATTATTTGCCATTCAATAGGTTATTTCATTAATGTATCTTTTTAAAAATTTTACTGGTAAAAGTGAAAATTGCTACTTGTCTTTAAATAACAGGAAAGAGCATGATCATCCCAGATATCAGCTCTAATAAGGAAAACAAAACAAGCCCCATTAATTTTACATACAGGAGAGGCTTGTTATCTTCAGGATCCTCATCTTCAACTTCCAAAAGCCAGCCATATCCTCTTTGTCTCAGAAATGTAGTAGCTGTAGATTCTTTGATAAAATCTCCACCAAGATTTAATTTGACATCTGGAGATGCTATTGAACCACTAAGATCTTGGAAGCAAAGAAGACAGAATTATAAGCCAAGGAAAAATGTCCTTAACAAAATGTAAGATAATTATCATGCAAAAATCTCTATAGATGAACATCTGCTATTTTTAAAAATCACCCCACTGCCATTGAGCCAATTACTACCAAAAACTCTAGAACCCATAGGACAAAGAAGAACTATCCCAGAGTGTTTCCAGGGTAGTAAATCTTTTTTAAAAGGATCATTTTATTGGGGGCTTATACAGTTCTGATCACAATCCATACATCCAACCATTGTCAAGCACATTTGTACATTTGTTGCCATCATCATTCTCAAAACATTTTCTTTCTACTTGGACCCTTGGTATCAGCTCATTTCCCCCCCTCCCTCCCTCACGAACCCTGGCTAATTTATAAATTATTATTATTTTTCCATGTCTTATACTGTCCGATGTCTCCCTTCACCCACTTTTCTGTTGTCTGCCCCTCAGGGAGGGAGTTATATGTAGATAACTGTGATCAGGTCCCCTCTTCTCCCCCACCTTCCTCTTACCCTTCGGGTATGTCTACCCTCAATATTGGTCCTGAGGGGTATATCTGTCCTGGATTCCCTGTGTTTCCAGCTCTGACCTTTGCCAGTGTACATCCTCTGGTCTAGTCGGATTTGTAAGGTAGAACTGGGATCATGATAGTGGTGGGGGGAGAAAGCATTTAAGAACTAGAGGAAAGTTGTGTGTTTCATCGATGCTACACTGCATCCTGAGTGACTCGTCTCCTCCCTGCTACCCATCTGCAATGAGATGTCTAGTTGCCTAGAGATAGGCCTTGGGTCTCCACCTGGCACTCCCCCTCATTCACGATGATATGATTTTTTGTTCTTTGGTGCTTGATACCTGGTCCCTTAGACCCCTCGTGATCACACAGGCTGGTGTGCTTCTTCCATATGGGCTTTGTTCCTTCTTAGTTAGATGGCCACGTGTTTACCTTAAAGCGTTTAAGATCCCAGACGCTATCTCTCTCAATAGCTGGGCACCTTCAGCCTTCTTCACCACACTTACTTATCCACACATTTGTCTTCAGCATTTGTATGGGGAAGGTGAGCACACAATGATGATTTTTATTTGGTTTCTGCTACCCTTCAACACCTTGTGATCACACAGGCTGGTGTGCTTCTTCCATGCAGGCTTTGTTGCTTCTCAGTTAGATGGCCGCTTGTTTACCTTCAAGCATTTAAGACTCCAGGTGCTATATCTTTTGATAGCCAGCTCTATCAGCTTTCTTCATCACATTTGCTTATGCACCTGCTTTGTCTTCAGCAATTGTGTCGGGAAGGTGAGCATCATGGAATGCCAATTTAATAGAACAAAATATTCTTGCATTGAGGGAGTACTTGAGTGGAGCCCAATGTCCATCTGCTACCTTAATACTAAACCTATAAATATATGCACATAGATGTATTTCCCCATCATCATAAATATATTTACATATGTACATGCCTGTATTCAGGCCTCTATGTATGCCCTTTGCCTCCTACTTCTTTCCTCTATTTCCTTTTGCTTTCCTCTTGTCCCACTATCAAGCTCAGTCTTCATTTGTATTTCAGTAGTTCCTCTCGGTTACACTGCCCTTGATCACTCCCTACCAGGCCTCCCACCCACTATTCCTTGCCACTGGCTACAGATCACTAGTTGTTCCCTTGTTCCTGGGTTGGTTAACACCACTTTCCTTCCCCAACTTCCCCCTCTCCCATGTCCCCCCAGAACCATTGGTCCTGTTGTTTTCTTCTGCACATTGTTTATCCAGCCTATCTTATCTAGATAGACCTGCAGAGATAATAACATGCACATAAAAACTCACAGGGCCAAACAAAATGACACAGAAAAACAAGCGACAGCAGCAACAACAACAACCATAAGCCAATGACATACAAAATCAAAAAGAAAGAAAAGCCTGTAAATAGTTCAAGGTCTGTTTGTTGACCTTTAGAAATGGTTTCTGGTTGGGTCTGCTGGGGTATCATGCCCTGGGCCCACAGTCTATTTTTGGTATTCCTTCGGGATTTCCTTGTTCTGTTTCCCTTGCTGTTCTAATTGCACGCCCTTAGTGTTTTGCCTCGGTGTGATGGGGTCAGCTCTGTCACACATCCCACACTGTCTCTCTCCAGTGTTGTCCTATGTAGGGCTCTGGGTCAGTGCAGGATGTTGTAGTGGGGCCGGCCATATGGTCCTCTCTGTGCACTGGCTGCTTGGAGTGGGGCTATTGTCATCAGGGTTTGGTGGGCCAGGGTGTGCTGCACTCCCTTCCTCCTCCGTCATTTGCTTCTGCTTCTGTCTGGGTATGGAGGTCGGTTCCTTTCCCCCACCAGTAGGTCTCTTGTCATTCTCTGAGGTGCCCCAGCTTATACTTGAGTATATACGGTAGTTCCCTGCTAATTCATCTTTTTTCCTTATATGACTAAATCACTGATTTTGACAAAAAATTTAAAAATATGTAAGTTTTTTTTAAAGGTCAACTCTAAAAAAGGTAGAGTTTCAGTTATCCACATTAAAAATTAATTAAGCTCAGAGCCTGCACAGTATCTTGGACATTATAGATAAATCACTATAGTATGAATGCTATATATTCTGGCTAGAAAAAAATGGGAATAGTTAATAAGTTGCCTATGGTCAAATAACAATTAAGGGGGGGGGAACCTTTAGTAATAAATATCAAGGAGTAGCAAACAACTATCAATGTTGTTGACTACAAGTCACATGACTAGAACAGCACATCAGAAAATGTTTTTGGCAACAGCAAATCAGAATACCCAGAGTTTCCTTTCTTCGAATTTATTTCCAACCAATATTAAAGTTAGCTTCCTTCAAAAAATAAATCAATATATAAGTTCTTGACATATAAAAGCTTAATTTGCACATTACTCTAAATTCTAATTTTAAGGGCCATTAAAATTTTGGCTTAAACTTCAATGAATGGATCAATTATGATTCACATCTTGGTCTGGTTGTGACAACTCCTACAAAGAATAATGACAAAGTTTGCATTCTGAAGCTAAGTCCTAACTTAGCTACTAATTAATTCAGCAAATCAGTTATGCCTTCTGGGCCCCATTTCCAATTCATAGTTCCTAGGGCAGTGGTTCTTAACTTAATGCTGTGACCCTTTAATACAGTTCCTCATGTTGTGATGACACCCCCACCATAATGTTATTTTCATTGATACTTCCTAAGTGTCATTTTGCTACTGTTATGAATTGGGCAACCCCTCTGAAAGGGTCGTTCGACCTCCAAAGGGATCGTGACCCACAGGTTGAGAACCGCTGCTTTAATCCCTAGCTGAGTATGTCCCTCTCCTTAAAAACTTTTAAAAAATCATATAAACCCTAAAGCAGTGGGTTTTATTGGGGGCTCGTACAACTCTTATCCAATCCACACATCTATCCGTTATGTCCAGCACATTTGTACATTTGTTGCCATCATCATTCTCAAAACATTTGCTTTCTACTTGAGCCCTTGGTATCAGCTTCCCCATTTTTCCCTTCCCTCATGAACCCTTGATAATTTATAAATTATTATTATTTTGTCATGTCTTACAATGTCCGATGTCTCTCTTCACCCACTCTTCCGTGGTCTGTCCCTCAGGGAGGGGGTTCTATGTAGATCCTTGTAATCGGTAGGTAGCCCCTTTCTACCCCACCTTCCCTCTACCCTCCCGGTATCGCCACTCTTACCACTGGTCCTGAAGGGATCAGTCCTGTTTTCCGTGTGTTTCCAGTGAGAAACTGTATTAAAGGGTCGCAGCATTGGGAAGTTTGAGAACCAATGGATTAAAGGCAAGTTCTTTGAATTTCACTATTCTTTCCTACCTTACATTTAAAACTACTTCCTGCAGACAACCATACAATTTTGTGGCCACACTCCCTAACTGTGGTTAAAACAGTCTATTAATATTACTCTGCTGCTTTGTCTTAATGTAAGTTAAAAAGAAAGAGTTGCAATCCAACTAATATTCTTTCTTAAAATACAATAAGTGCTTTGCTTAATTTAACAAGAGGAAGATTTAAACCAGGAGGTCACTAGAACAATGACATTACAGGTTCCAGAATTATGAGGCAGGAAAGGACCATAACAACTGTTTCCTGGCCTCTAGAAAGGACTGCACCTGAAGTGCTAGAAAGATCCTGTAGGAAGGGGGAACCGATTACATGTGACCGCCTCCCTGGAGGACGGACAACAGAAAAATGGGTGAAGGGAGAAGTCAGACAGGGCAAGACATAACAAAATAATAATTTATAAATTATCAAGGGTTCAGAAGGGAGGGGGGAGGGGGGAGGAAGGGGAAAAATCGAGA